TGGAGGGGAAAACACAACAGGTGCTCTGCTGAAACAACATGACAGTGAAACTGACCACAGCGACATTTCGGGCAGGTGCCAGTGGCACAGTTGGCCTGGCTGCCGCATGGATGTGCAGCTGTATGTGCATTGCTCTGACCAGTGCATGGAAAAGAAAGGGCCACCACAGCAATTGCATGCTCCATTCAGTCTTTCTGCTCCGGCACACCAGTGGAGAGGACGCCCACAGAGCTGGTGTTCACCATGGTCAAAGGATAACGGCAAACCTGGAGAGCAGCCACTACATCAAAGAACACGGCCCCAAGAAAGGACTGGGGCACCCGCTGCCACTTGTGCTGGCAAGGATAGTGGACAGGCTGGGGCTCAGAGTGGGTCATCGGGACGGTCGACCACAGGGGGGGGAAGTGTGCTGTATGGCATCTGTTGTTGCTAAACTGTTATTGTTGGAGTAGTTGTGTTTAATAGTTGTTTTGGAGTATCTGTGTTCAAATAGTTGGAGTTAGATTTTTCTTCCCCAAATCGTATCATATTGTGTTATTTTCATAGATATAGATAAAGCACTTGCAGAAGTCTGAGATGTGATCTGGGAAACTTGCACAAAGTTTGGCTGCCCCTTTATAGAGGAATTAAAACTCAGCAGTACTTTTCTATGAAGCTCATATTGTCACTATTTTACCTTTTACATATTACATACCATTTTACATGTTGCTTCTTTGAGTTTTGTGCTATAAATGTTCATTTTTGTCATGTTCTGTCATGTTTTTTATCATTTCAAAGAATTCGATATGAGAAATGATTATTAATTAATATCAATATCAATAAATTATGACCACTTCTCTGTGGTAATGTTATTTTATTATTAATAAAATATGGTCATTTTATTAAGAACAATATTTCACTTTTAGAGCCTTTAGTTTGATGCATATTGCACATGACAGAGATTGAGCAGGCGGTCTGGAAATGGGTGGACGGTGTATCACTGACCACTGGGGTAAAATATCAGGGCTCTACTTGTATCTGTTTGGTTGCAGTGATTCCGTGCCCTCAATGTCCTGTCCACAGAAAGTCATATCTATGACCAAGTACACATGCATGACTTCAGGGGATGAAATTCAGCACACAGTCATATCCAAATGTTTAGGAGCCCCTGATTAAATTATATGTTTTATTGAAGTTCTAAGTGAGAATAAATTCACATCCACATCTGCACGTTTTAATGCAGTATCACTGTTTATTGGATTAATATAATAAACTGGAAAAATAACACATTAAATGTGGCCTGTTTGAAAGTTATGGCATGTTTTTTTATTTTATGTTTTATGCTATTTTATATTTTATGTTAAACTCAGCAAATAAACAGAAATTGTGCAATAAAATTTGCAGAAAAATGCCATATTTAGTTCTGTTCCCCATATATGATGTGTTAACATATTTTCACTCAGAAAATCAACAAAATATCTAGTTTGACTAGAGATGTTCAAACCTTTGAATACAACTGTACGTTTCCTTTCCTCCCACCTGACCTGCCTGACCTCTGACTTCCCTTAACCTCAGAAAGACTCTTTATACTATGAGTAATCTCAGAAAATACTTCACCAGAATCCACACAATAATCTACTTCACCATAAAGTTCCTTTCACAGATGTCGCTCATCTACTGAGATATGCTGCATTACAGAGTGACAGTGGTCATACAGGGAGGAGAATGAAGATCCTAAATCATAAGAAACTAAAGATACAGATTTTACTGCAGCATCTTTACAGCTGAACTAACCACACATAGACATAGAGGCACCCAACAGAGAGGAAGAGCTGATGTAACTGAAGGTTTATATCTGGTTCTCTGAAATGTATTTATTTCTTTAAAGGAAGTACTATTTCTGTATTACTTCTACTTCTACTGTTATCAGATTAACTAGGACACTGTTGGCTCTGTGTGTGAAATGTTGTGTTGAGCTGCTAGTGAGTGATGAGGGAGAAGTGAGGGGTGAGACCCCCTGGTGAGAAAATAATTCACACTTCTCCACAAAGACATAATAAAGAAAGCACAACTGCAGCTGTCGATATCAAAAAATCATGTGCAACTGCCACAACAAAAAAAGCAGCATTTAGACACAAAAACACTTTTATAAATGTCGACTTGCTGGATCACCTATAAAGATGAAAACTCAGTTTACTTCTCATTAAATCATATACATTTCATCAATGTTATGATTTTATTTTATGGCTACTGTAAAAAAGGTCTAACTAGTTCCAGTTTGCAGGGCTCTAAAGGACACTAACAATATATATATATATATATATATATATATATATATATATATATATATATATATATATAAAACAAATAACAAAACACATTAGTATAATCATGAGTACATAGTTACTCTGCATCTCATAACTCATAACCTTATAAGACAGTAGTGATAATCTCAGCTCCTGGTGGGTCGTGACTCTGAAGATATTTCCTCTTCTGATGCTGAAGTCACACTGGGTCTTGCTGATCCACTCATGAGCTGAATCAGACATTCAATGAGGTAAAATCTAAACTCTGCAGTGCTGTGGCCCACCAGGACTAGAGTACCACACATATGGTGTCAATAATCATCATTCAGTATTTAAAAGTCTGTGTTTGGTGTCACAACATTTTGATCCTAGAGGGCACCAAAGCTGATCCAGCACTAATCAGTTATACACACATTGCTGTATAATTTACTAGGCAGGCCAAAGTAGAAATAAAACTGAACTGAATTCAATATGCACAGGGCTGCAAACTGAACTCTGAAAGTCTGCATAAGAACATCCTCATAAGTGAAGACATTACCAAGAGGTGAATTAAGGTTGACAAGCTAAAGAAAAACATTTACTTCAAGATGCTTTTACACACCTGTACCATGTGACTCACACATCTCAAAGACCATCACAGTCTCATATCTGTGTCCGGCCTCACCATCTTGCACAATCTTCTAATTTAGACTATTTACAACTGCAGTTAAGCACAGATAATCTGCAGTCACTTCCTGCCAGTGGATAAGCTGACGATGAACAAACACAAAGTCATCAGTTCAGACTTATTATTTCTGCTCCAGTCAGTCAGAGCAGAATGGATATGAGGGAGGATATATATGAAAATTCAGGAATTACAGCAGACAACAGAAGAAATTCAGATTGCAGTGGACATTCATATGAAGACATTTATGCCAATGAGGACAACATAGAACTCCGGTACAGTAACTGCAGAGAATATACACATTGAAAATGCTGAGGAAGACGACAAAACCTCTCACTCACATACAGCAGATCCTCTACAGAGGTAAGTTTAAGTCTTTGTTGGGATTTTTCACTTATCCATGTATTATTATAGTTTCCTTGTAATGGAGTTATGGAATAACAGAGGTTTGGGGGGGTACATGCCTGAAATCCCTGCTCTTTTCAATCTAGCATTCATATTCACATCCTTACTTTCTGCTTCCTATGAAGTTCTCGCAATCCCCTCCACCATCTCATCCCCTCACTGTTCCTCAGGGAAATGGCAGTCCTACCACAGTTGCAAGGAGGGTCTGGCCTTCTAGCTACAGGCAGAAGCCACCCAGACCTCCAGCACAAGTTCTCAGGGTTCTCCCGTCTCTATCAATCAGTCTTCCCTCCTACTATCATTACATGTTCAAGGCAAGGTACGAACTCGCAGTTGAACTGAACGGACTGACGAGTGAATGGTATGTTTTGAAACCTCCAGTGTTTATATACTATATCAAACTTATTTGTTTAACAAAAAAGTAAGGACAATTCAGTTTTCCCTTTTTTTTGTCCTTTAAACAATGTTTAATTTCTTGGTCATGCTGGTAGAGCAGCTCAAAAGAAAACATACCCTATTGTGGTATGTTCTGCTACATTAACCTGCCGGTTGACCAGTGTTGAGTATGTTTTTCATTTATAAAAATATTAAAATGATCAAAAAATATTTCTTTCATTTACATATACAGTCTTTGCTCCATCCAGACTGATGTCAACTGTTACTGTTTCTGTCTCTGGCTGTAGTCTCACTGGGCCAGACGTAACAAGAATACACATCTTGGGGCAATTAGGGTGTCTTTCTACACCGAGAACACAAAGAATGGATTTGTGATCTTGGGTAGAACATTCTTGACAAGAACTACAAACAAACTTGGAAGAACACAAGAACAGACTATGCAAGTACAGGAGTTTGAGATATGCTGTATACTTGCTTTTACCAGGCCCAGATCAGCCCATTGGATTTATGAAGAATTTGAACTGGAATTTGAAGCTCCAAGGACAGGACTATGGAATGTATCATGTTATAGGAGAATTTAATCTCATATGCCAAGAAACTGAATCTCCATAACATAAAACACAAATAACTCAATGCTACTAAAAAAGAAGTCACTATTTTACCTTTTTTTACATACATCTCATCAGATACAATCTTTACATCATTTTGTGTACTGCTTACATGATTTTTGAACTATACATGTTCTTTTTTTCATGCTTTGTTCATGTTTTTTTATCATGTTCACAGTTAAAGAATGTTCAGGGAACTGCAGTTGCAACATGATTATCAATGAAGAGAAATGGCAATAGGTCATGACCACTTCTTTGTGATAATGTTATCAGTTATGGACTCACCTGCGCAGGTCAGTGTAATTATGAAATGTTTTTTTAATAAAACCAAATTTCACTTTTAGATCCTTTACTTTGATGTATATCGCAAATGACAGAGATTGAGCGCTGGGTCTGGAAATGGGTGGACGGTGTATCACTGACCACTGGGGTAAAATATCAGGTCTCCTGATTCCTCTTTATATGCTGAATATAACATACTGTGTAACTGTGTAACTCACACATCTCAAAGCTCATCACAGCCTCACATATGTGACCGGCACTGTTATCTTACACAACCTCCTTAATTTAGACCAGGCTAAATTTACTAATATAGATGAGCACAGATACTCTGCAGTCACTTCCTGCCAGCAGCAGCATTAAGCTGACATGCAGCACATGCAGAGTCACTTTGAGAGTCATCAGAATTATTTAAGTTAGCATTAATCGGAGCAGAATGGAAATGAGAGAGAATATATATGCAAATTCCGGAATTATAGCAGACAACAGAAGAAATTCAGATGGCAGTGGACATTCATACGAAGACATAGAAACTCAGAAGACCAGCAACAAAAGGAACTCAGGTACAGTAACTGCAGACAATATACACGTTAAAAATGCTTAGAAAGTGAACAAAACCTCTCACTCACATACAGCACATCCTCAGAACAGAGGTAAGTTCTTCATGTGGTTTGTCACTCACCTATTAATTACTGTGCTAAATGATGCTGTAGTCCCACCTTAAAATGTATCATTAACCGGCTTTAATCAGTAACCAAAATAATTTAATTTTAAATTTTTAAGCTTTTTTGTATCATAAGTGAGTCTGATTAACATCTAAACATACAAGATATGACATCATAACTAGCAGGTGTATCTTCTATTATACTGTATCATACAGAGACAATCCAGTATAAGGTGGCTCACTGTCTGGACCACTTGGGAACTTTGCACCAGAAAGTATATATGATTTTGAGGCCTGGAAACAGACACAAGTCAGTTCACTCAATCAAAAGTAGCTTATGTAATAAATAGATGAACAAGACCCCAAGGTACAGGGGACTCTGAGCCATAGGGCAAAGCTCTATGTTTACCAGTCAGTCTACATCCCCACCCTCACCAACGGTCATAAGCTGTGGGTAATGACTGAAAGAATGAAATCATGGATACAAGCAGTGGAAATGAGCTTTCTTCGCAGAGTGGCAGGCTACACTCTACTTGATAGGACGAGGAGCTCAGTCATCTGGGAGGAGCTCAGAGTAGAGCTAGTACTCCTCCTCATTGAGAGGAGCCAGTTGATGTGGTTCGGGCATCTGATCAGGATGTCCTCTGGCCACCTCCCGTTGGATGGTTACCAGGCACGGCCGACTAGGACGAGACCTCGAGTTCGTCCTAGGAACTGCTGGAGGGATTATATATCCAAGGCCTGGGACCGGCTCGGGAGCTGGAGGAATTTGCAGGGGGGGAACGGGGTCTTCTGGGATTCTCTGTTCTCACATCAGCTTAAGTGTGAATACATCTAAAACAATGTGTAAATGACCATGTTTTAACCATTCTAATGCAGCATTTAGAAGCGTACAGGTTACTGCAGTATTATTGTTAACCATCTGTATTCGACATTCAGAAGCCTGTGTGTGGCTACAGTAATTTAAACCAATCGTGTTTGACAGCCACGTGTACTTTTTTTTTAATCAGATGTTGCATGCAAAGTGCCTTGTGGTCTTTTTGCTAACTATCGAGTGTTGTGTGTTCAGCTGTTTCACCGCTCACGACAACAAATACATTCAACTACACTTGGAACACTTTTCTACCAACAGAACATACTTTAAATATGGCTACATGCTGGATTTGGCTCATTCCCAAAAGGAATATTCATGTTTTGTGTTTTTCTTTTACCTGTAAAGGGAGATAATTAAATGACAAGCTCTTCACTGGGTTGTCTCTTTTGCATTTTTATGGCAAATGAGGAGGAAAACAGTGAGAGCGCCCCCTCTGTAACCCTGAAAAACAGCCCCAGCCCATTATCTCTCCTCCACCAAACTTTATTGTCGGTCCTGTGCATTCCAGTAGGTAATGTTCTCCTGGCATCCACCAAATCCATAGTAGTCCATCAGACTGCCAGACAGTGAAGAATGATTCATCTAGAGAACACGTTTCCACTGCTCCAGTGTTTAGTGGAGGTGTGCTTTACACCACTCCAGCCAACCCTTAGCATTGCATATAGTAATCTAAGGCCTGTGTACAGCTGCTCAGCCATAGAAACCCATTTCATGAAGCTCTTGTTCTTGTGCTGATGTTACTTCCAGAGGCAGTTTGGAACTCTGTAGTGAGTGTGGTATACAGGCAATTTTTGCAAGCTATGTGCTTCAACACTCGGCAGCCCTGCTCTGTGAGTTTGCGGGGTCTAACACCTTGTTGCAGAGCTGTTGTTTTTTGTAGATGCTTCCATTTCACAATATTAGCACTTAGAGTGGCCAAGAACTGACTGGTGGCAGAGGTGACATGCTATGAAAGTGCCAGTCACTGAGCTTTTCAGTACAGCTCATGTTTATAGATGTTCCTAGCATGGTGTAGGCCACTAAAAGCTGCAGACTCAGTACTAACCTGGTGTTCATCTTTTATTACTTACTTTGTGGTTCTCTGAAACTATTTAAAGCAAGTACTGTTACTGTACTACTTCTGCCTGTTACAATTTCTCCTCATTGTGTGAGGACATCACCAAAAGGGTGAATAAATGTTCATAAACTATAGGAAATTCTGCTTCTGCACTCAAACCATGTGACTGACATATTACAAAGGTCATCACGGTTTCACATGTGGCCAACATCACTATCTAATACAATGTACTTAATTTAGACCAGGCTGTTTACAAGAACAGTTGAGCACAGAAACCCTGCAGTCACTTCCTGCCAGCAGCAGCATTAAGCTGACATACAGCACATGCAGGGTCACTTTGAGTTATCAGAGTTAATAAAGTTAACACCAGTTAGAGCAGAATGGAAATGATAGGGGATATATATGATATATATGCAAATTCAGTAATTACTGCAGACAACAGAAGAAATTCAAGTAGCAGTGGACGTTCATATGAAGACATTTATGCCAATGAGGACAACATAGAAACACATACGACCCTCAACAAAAGGAATTTCATTAAAAATGCTGACAGAGTCAGCAAAATCACTCACTCACATACAGCAGATCCTCAGAACGGAAGGAAGTTTGAGTCTTCATGGGTTTCTTTGATTACTCATACATTATTGTGCTAAATGATGCTATAGGCCCATGTTGTTTATTGAATAGTGATGATGTGAAGATGAAGAAGAAGTCTCCGCTGACACCGCCTTACTTGTATAAGATGTTTATTACAAAGTAAAACATTATCATATGAAGCACTATAAAGTATCTGAGAGAGGATCCGTGCCAATTCTAAAGTGTCCCCTCCAGAACAGAATAATCCAGTTGCTTATATATGCTACTTGTTGTTGAAAAAAGGAGACGGAACATATGGTCCTTTTTAAAATGATCTCATCTATTTGGAACTAAGAGAGGCCCACTCCCTATGAGGGCCTTTGGACCAGGGGCCCCCTAACTTAAACATTCCAAACCTGCAAAAACAGAATACATGGAACTTCAGACACCTCACCCACACTAAAACGTATTGTTAACTGGCTTTAATCAGTAAACAAAAGAAATGTTTTTTTCAAGTTTTCTTGTATCATAAGTGAGTCTGATTAACATCTTAACATACGAGATCTGACATCCCAACTAGCAGGTTTATTTTGCATTGTACTGTATTACACAGAGACAATCCAGTATAAGGCATTTTGCTCTCTAGCTCACTTGGGAGCTTTGCACAAGAAAGCAGATATTTTGTGGCCTGGAAACCGACACAACTCAGTTCACTCAATCAGACGTAGCTTATGCAATAAATACATGAGATAAATACACAGAAAAAGAAACGTGCATAAATTAGGGATGGCACGATACCACTTTTTCATGTCCAATACTAACACAGATACCACAACCTTGTGTATCTGCCGGTATAGATACCAATCTGATACCATCTTTTTCCCTCTCTTAAACAACTAAGCTGTTAATACATTTGTCTGAAGGCACTTTGCTTAACCTAGCCATGTAAATAACATCATGTTCAAACAAATATCCTACTTCTCTAAAGGAAGAAATACATAGGACACAACATGACAATACAATGCAATACTGCTGTTTATTTTTATTTAAACTTTTTCACACAGAACTTTAGCAGCATTTTTGATTGGTCATTTTTGATTGGTCAGCACAATTCAGACATTTTAAAATGAAATTTAAAGTGCATCTTTGTACAAAAGTTTCAGCGTTCAATGTGGCCTATACCTTAATGACATAGCAAAATTATAAGTAGTCCATAACATAAAAATAATAGTATTTCCAGTATAAAAGAGTAGACATAGCATCTTAAGGCACTCCCAACTGAAACTATTATTAGCTATTACACCTGATATCAAATAAGCTGCATCACTGACTCCACAGAGCTGACATGAAGACCACATTGCCGCACTACCGACATGTCTCACTCACGCTCAAGCTACTGTTCACATGCTGCTGATCTGTCTCATGACTAGGGCTGTCAAAGTTGGCCAAAAATGACAAACACATCGGTTCCATTTGAATATTTATTTTTGTGCATTATGTCCATAAGAGGGCAAACCAATACCACAAGAGTGTTGCATCAGACTCAGGTGACTCTCAAATTCACGTTCCCCTCCATGAGCCACATCCTCAGGATCTGCATTCACTGAGTAGAAATCAGCACCAAACAACATTGCAACTGAAGAACGTAAAAAAGATTTCAACCTTCACTTTGCCGCTGATTAGATTATTAAATTGAGACTTTTTACCCATTTCACTGTCTACTGCTTCAGTGCTGTGTGAATGTGTGCGCCCGAGACCATGATTTATCAGGAGGAAGAATTTGAGGAGGAACTGAATGAATTTGGGTGCATAGTTTTGAGATGTGCCCTCAGGTTGCTAATGCTGGAACAGTAGGCTAAATGTAGCTTACATTTATTATATATTTTATAATCAAATTTAGTATATTTATTGACAGCCCTTATGACACACTTCGCTCAAAGTGTAGTGAAGCATTGATGTGATAGTTTAGGCAAATGGATCATATCAGATTATACTGTATTTCTTCATATATTCAACCCAGTGATTTCGGCCAGTGACGGGCCAAAACTGATACTGAGTATCGGTTTGGCAACACCCCTAATATCTGGTCTTCATTTAAACATTGTTAATAGATAAAAATTATATGGAAGTGACACTGAAAATGAACATTTTGTCATCCTTTATGTAGTTGAAATAAACAGAAATGCAGTTGCTGCTTTAGGGCCTGGCCAACTTGCAATCGCAGAATCAACTATGAATTGTCTGTCATACCAGAGAGTGCTTGAGGAGAACGTTAGACCATTAGTCAATAAAGCTGAAGCTAAGAAGTGGAACTTCCAACAGGATAATGATCCCAAACATACAAGTAAACCCACCAAGGTGTGGCTCAAAATGAAGAAACGGAGGGAATCGAAAATCAACGCCCAGATCTGAATCTTTTTGAAATGTGAGGGGATTTGAAAGAGGTTGTACATGCAAGAAACCCCTCAAACATTGCACAATTGAAAGACAATTGGACAAAGATTTCTCCAAGTATATGTCAGAAACTGGTAGCCAGTTATAGGAAAGTTAAAGTTGTTTCTGTCATGCAGTGCCAGGTGCTGAAGTCAGGGGTGTACTTACATTTTTAACAGAAACATTATGTGAGTTAATTTTTTAGGCAAAAACAATAATTGTAAAGTCAAACTCTCCTCCTGGAGACATACTTTCCTGAAAAGTCTTGTTCTAACAGGCTAGCACCCCCTAACCTATCACTAATGCATCTGACCCAGCCAACCAAGAACTTATAAAGTTCATTAGCTGGAGCAGGTGTAGCAGATTGTGGTTTGAGCTAGACTCGACTAGTACCAAAGTTGGTGACCACTGAATTATATAATGTTTATCTATATATACTGTTTATCTGAAGATCAAATATTGATATGTCCACATACACTCACTGAACACTTTATTAGGTACACCTCCTTGTATCTACGCTCATTGTCCATTTTATCAGTTCCACTTATTATATAGGTGCACTTCGTAGTTCTACAATTACAGACTGTAATCCATCTGTTTCTCTGCATACTTTGTTAGTCCCCTTTCACACTGTTCAGGACCCCCCAAAGGACTACCACAGAGAATTGTTATTTGAGTGGGGGATCATTCTCAGCACTGAAGTAACACTGACGTGGTGGTGGTGGTATCAGTGGATCAGACACAGCAGTACTGCTGGAGTTTTTAAACACTGTGTCCACTCACTGTCCACTCTATTAGACACACCTAACTTGTTGGTCCACCTTGTAGATGTAAAGTCAGAGAGAGTAGCTCATCTCTTGCTACACAGTGTTTGTTGGTCATCCTCTAGTCCTTCATCAGTGGTCACAGGACACTACTCACAAGACACTGTTGGCTGGATATTTTTGTTTGGTGGACTATTCTCAGTCCAGCAGTGACACTGAGGTGCTTAAACACTCCAGCAGCACTGCTGTGTCTGATCCACTTGTACCAGCGCAACACACACTAACACAGCACCACTATATCAGTGTCACTGCAGTGCTGAGGATGATCCACCACCCAAATAATTTTAATAAGATAACAAAGTATGCAGAGAAACAGATGGACTACAGTCTGTAATCATATTTGATACAATGATCTACAAAGTGCATCTATATGGTAAGTGGTGCTGACAAAATGGACAATGAGTGTAGATACTAGGAGGTGTACCTAATAAAGTGCTCAGTAAGTGTATGTATAAACACAGGTATAAGTCATATAAGTACAAAGTCACAAGACGTTATGTGCGTACACAGTTTTCACTCACTTTAACTCTTTTCAGGATTCTACAGGCTGACTGCAGTGTGTCTGGGGCTGCTGTGTGTTCTCCTGCTGACTACTGTCATGGTGCTGTGGATCAAGTTCACTGCAGAGAGAGACCAGTTACAGAGCAGTTACACCAACCTAACTATACAGAGAGACCAGTTACCGACTAGTTACACTAAACTGACTGCAGAGAGAAACCAGTTACAGACCAGTTATGCCAAGTTGACTGCAGAGAGAGACCATTTACAGACCAGTTACACCAAACTGACTGCAGAGAGAGACCAGTTACGGACCAGTTACACCAGATTGACTGCAGTGAGAAACCAGCTACAGAACAGTAACAACCGACTGACTGCAGAGAGAGACCAGTTACAGACCAGTTACACCAAACTGACTGCTGAGAGAGACCAGTTACAGACCAGTTACACCAGCCTGACTATAGAGAGAGACCAGTTACAGACCAGATTTTTGGATGTAACAAATGAAAGAGATCAGTTGAAAACCAGTTACGGCTCTGTGGTTCGTCAGCTTCAGAATCAGAAAGACTGTCTTCAGAAGTTCTCTAATTTGGGTGAGCAGATCATCTCTAAGGTTTAAGACAGTTACCTCCTTTTGGAGTAACTAAATCAGATTAAATTTTTAAGCACGCGATACATTATTACCTCATTTAAATCATGTGATTTATATATTTAAAAAACATAAAGGCATTAAAATAAAAAGTTTATTTTTACACAGTCACCAAATACGTGAAGAGAGTGCATCAATTCTAATCCACCTAAATAGGAGAGAAGACCTGATTAGCATTAGCTTATCTAGCATAATAACAGCTCTGCTCACCACAGAACAGATTCAAATCTAAGGGAGTGTAACAGAGCACCTGCTGTTGGAAGGGCAGAAAGGCAAAGTGTAATCTATTCTGTGGTGTCTGGATCCATACCATGTTAACTAAGCTAACAGTAGCTTAGTTAGCAGGCAAAAGTGTCACACACCACAGTACAGGTCAGATTCCAACTAACTGGTGCTCTGCTGACACAAGTCTAGATAATAAAACTCATGTCTGAGAGAGCAAAGTCAAGAGACTGTTGGAGAGACAGAAAGTAACAGCTGACACCATTATAATTCTCATATTTCATAAGCAATTAGAAATACCAGCATCATTTTCAAATACTGTGGTAAACCTTATTACTGCCCAATGCTAGATAAATATGAAATATTGATTGACTATAATTATTGTTGGAGGCTTTGGGTCCTGCTTTTTCTGACATCTTGTACTTTACTGGAAATTACATAAATGAAAGGGTCTTTTTTTTCTTTTTAATAGTAATTTCCTTTGAAATTTCAGGGAGTTATGTAAAGTAGAGGGTTTTAGCTCTTTACAATTGGTTGCCTCAGTCCAGCTGATGTGATGTAGTTTTGTTAAGGTTTGTTAAGGTTTGATGTAGTCTCCCCCTCAGTGAGACAGCATAAATACTACATTTATCAAATACATTTACTTCCAACATTGTGAAGTGCTAATCCTGTGTATTGCTTTGACATACTCTGAAAACATTAATGATCAAACATGCTGCATCTAATATGGCAAGAACTACATTTCTATAGTGGGTAAATTCCATAGTGGATCATCATATTACATTTCGAATAGCTCTTAACACAACGTAGGAACGTTATGATGCAATTAGGGATGCACAAAGATGTCGGAACCATATCGGTATTAACAGATAATTGCTTAAAAAATCTGTAATATGTATCCAAATTAATCAAAGACAGGTAGATCAAGATTTTATAAATGTATCAGCATCAGATATAAAAAATATCAGACAGTCAGAATCCCTCAATTCTGATATCAGTGCATCCTAAAATGCTAAAAAATTACCAGTACAGTAATCCAGTTTTAATGTGAGGAATAATTACCAAGGACTCAAATAAACATCTCACATGTGAAAGAAGAAAATAACTGTGATTTTAAAGTGTAAAATGAATCTCTGTGTTTGTGTTCAATTCACAGAGAAGGCAGCACAGCAGGGCTGGACATTTTTTGAGACCAGTATGTACTTCATCTCTACTAGAGGGAAGAAGAGCTGGAGTGAGAGCAGACTTGAGAGTGGAGTGAGAGAGATTGATGGTTTATGTCAGACCACACAAGCAGAAATATGTGTGCAATAAGTTACTTTTCCTCTCTGTCACTCAGAATCTACATCTGGTTGTTAACAGAACTTTACTGAAATACTGAGACGAGAAAAGATACCTTGGATTGGTCTGACTGACCGAGACACAGAGGGGGTCTGGAAATGGGTGGACGGCTCAGCACTGACCACTAAGTAAGAGATCACTGAACTGAACTCTGGTGATGATACAGTCACTCCTCACTGCTCTGATAAACACAGTGGATTCTCTGATTCTCTCTTTCAGGTTCTGGGGAAGTGATGAACCCAACAGTAGAGCAGGAGATGAGGACTGTATCGTAACTGGCCATGACGCTGATCCTGTAATTAACTGGGCTGATTATCCCTGTAATCAGCGGTTTGTTTGGATTTGTGAGAAAAGTATTTTTAACTGAGAGTGTTTTAGAACGAACGGCAGCAAAAGCCAGGAATATGAGCAGTTTGTTTGGACCTGTAAGGGAATATAGGGGGAATATCCTTGTTGGGAATATAAACTCGGCATATTTGTATTTAATTCATAACTATCACTGTTTTAATTACATTTGACCTGTGTGCTTATTATTTTTTCATGGTTTTTGTATTAGACAAGTTTATGACAAAAGCATTCAAACAACTTTAACATATCAAGCTTTAATGTTTCTGACAGTTCAGTCTGTCTTGGACTTTGGAGTAGAGTCACTCTGAAACTACTATCGTCAAAATCAAGGGGCGTTCCCTGCTAGAAGACCACCATGACTGGTCACCAGTAAAACCAGCATATGTCGTGTTTTGTATTCTGGTATCCTGGTCAACCAGGATGACCATGGTGGGTGACTAGCTGAACCAGCACCAGACCAGCACAGAATGCATGCTGGTCTGTGCTGTTCTGTTTCTGCAGGATAGGCCTGATGGGGGACTGAATGTCCTTTCTAACAGCACTTCAATCAGTTTTCTAGAAATGTACAGTCGACTCTTTAATAACTTCATTTTAATCTTCTGCTCACACTTAAATCATTAACCACAATGTGGCAAAACTATACAGACCTAATCAAAAAGTGGACACATTAAATACTGAATATTTTGCTATTATATTTAGTTGTAGAGGCTTCTGTGTCATTTTCTGCTTAATGTATAATTTCTGACTGTTTGTAGCCAGATGTGTGATCAGACATCAGATGTGTGATCAGAAAGTTTGATTGCCCCCTGGAGGCTGAATGAAGTCAGTGCAGAATCTGTGTAGAATCTGTAGTTTGTACATGCATCTGATTTTTTTGTAAATTAAAATGTTTTTATCATATTTACTTAATTACATAAATTTCATTTGGAATGTTAAACATGTAGCTGTGTACAAATTTAAATTGTTTAATACATTTAATAGGACTAATAGATTATCTAATAGAAACAGCAATAAATCATAAATGTGTTGGTGGCGACGTTTGTTGTGACGTTTTTATCTTTAAATATGTTAATATTTTATGTTGGTGGTGTTTCAACTGCGGTGATGCAGCGGGTAGGGCTGTCACCTCACAGCAAGAAGGGCCTGGGTCCTTTCTGTGTGGAGTTTGACATGTTCTCCCTGTGTGGGTTTCCTCCGGGTGCTCCGGTTCCAAAGACATGCAGTCAGGCCAACTAGACAGGCTAAATTGCCCCGAGATGTGAGTGTGTGTGTGAGTGTGTGTGTATGTGTGTCTGCCCTGCGATGGACTGGCGGCCTGTCCAGGGTGTTTCCTGCCTTCCCCCCGATTACTGCTAGGGTGGCCTCCAACTCCCCCCGTGACCCAGAAGGATAAGCGGCTTAGAAAATGTGTGTGTGTGTGTGTTTCACTGCATCAATTGTGCAATCATCACCATCTTCCTGCATGATTATTGAATGGAGTCTTTCAGATGAATAAAACTTCACAGAAGCAGCACATATTGTTAGTATGGTTGGTTTCAGAGGCTCATTTTAACAAAAACAACCTTTTAGCAAAAGCACATAAACCTTATTTGGATCTATGCATCGTTTTGTGAGCAGTGTGAGTTTAATTCACTAAAATAATGATCAGAAACAGAGACACCTATAATCTACAAGATTATCTATAATCGAAGACATATTTATTATTATTAAGGGAATATTAATGAAATCTTTATCTTTGAGTTAAGTACCCACTGAGTAGAAGCTGCAGACTCTGTTCTAATCTCAATAAATGTACTACTTCTAATGTTCCTGGCTGAGGATCAGGTATCAGTTCCAGTTTGTACAGTTCTAATGTATCAGTCAGTGAGCAATAACATTACAAAATACATGATCATTAGTTTGGTCTTATAATCTTCTAAAGAACTTTGAATTTGCATTTTAAACAGGATAGATTTTGGTGTCGCACCACAATAATCCACAAGAGGGCACCAAACACCAGCTTAAAAGCAGATCCAGCAATTATTGGTTGTGCATACTTTATATTAATGTAGCATCTTGGCAAAGAAGGAGACACGGAAAAGGCTGTGATTTCTTCTATGAGAAATGCTTTTTATTACCACCAGCAGAAAAAGCACATAAACACATCCGGGGATTACAGGAAAAGTCACTACCAGCCACAGCTCTTCACTCTAGAGTAGACTCACACCCCACTTTAACTAAACCCCCTTAAAATAACACAAATAACACATACGCACACCTTAAAGTAAGGAACAACAACATCAACACACAAAATAACAACATTTAAAGTCCCTAACAGGGCAGGTGCGCAGCTCTGCACGCCACGCCTCCAGAACCCCCTCTGCGAAAGACAGCAAGTGGCAGCCGCCACAACATACCAGAAACAGGTTTAACTGAAATAAAATATTACTGTTTGAACATGAACATGACTGAAAATCTGCACCTGAAATCTCCATAAGAATCTCCTCTTAACCAGAGTTACAGCAAAGAAAAGAAACCTGTGTAAGTGCATGTAGCTCAACAACCACAAGAGGGAGCCACCCAACTGAACCAGAGAGGACACATGAAGGTCTACATTATATATAATCTTTGGTTTCACTACAACTATGAGGAGTACGTTAGTGGTGATGTGTCATTTGAAAATATTAAATGTTGTTTGTAATATTATAAATACAATAATAATACTAATACTAATAATACTAATAATAATAATCATATATATATATATATATATATATATATATATATATATATATATATATATATATATATATCCATATGTGAAAATGACACAGATCAACAGAAGATAAATACTACAATATGTAGAGTTTTAATGAAAAGCTAAGTTTTTAGATTTTTAGATGCTTCTTAAAAGTGAGTGCAGTGAGCTTGACAGTCTAATAAAAAGCATAATAACTGAACGAGTCTCTCCATGTTTTCTGTATTTTACAGAACGTGTTTGCAGAAGGTCAGCATTTGCAGATCTAAGATCACATGCTGGAACATTAACAGACAGACACTCTGTGATGTAAGAGGGAACTTTAAGGTCATTTAGAGCCTTAAAAACTAGTAACAGAACTTAAAATCTATTCTGAATGATACAGGCAGCCAGTGCAGTCCTTTTAAAACTGGAGTATTATGATCTCTCTGTTTTGATTTTGATCGGATGTGTGCTGATGCGATTTGTATGAGTTGTATGGTATGTATTGTTTTCTTAAATTATAGTAATCAACTCTGCTTGTAACAGATGCATGAACCTGAGTTATTGTGCTGAATTATGACTCCACAGCAGAATCTGGCTCCCCTTTGTGTGCACACACATCACACAGGTAGAACCTCAGCTCAGCAATGACGATTGTAGCACAATTTTTCTCCTCATTTCTCCTACTTTTACTCTTTCCTCAGTCTGCATTTATACTAATTTATTAGAAAGCCAGGATTTTAATCAAAATATATCCTGTAACATCACTGCTGCTGTAATAGCTGATAAACGTTTTGGCTTTATTATTGCAAAAAAACAAAAAAAAAAAACAAAACAGCACAAAGCCGTCATAGTAGATTCTATTATTTGTATTGAACACTATGTTTTTTGGATTCTGTGTGTAAAATCTGAACTGATGGGATACTAAACCTTAACACTGGTGAAATCAGCTGGACTTAGACAATAGCAAGTACACAGCACATCTCAAACTCCTGTATGTGCAGCCTCCAGCCTTATGTTCATTACATACATCTAAACAGTCTAAAACTTCATCTTAAAAAGAAAGTGTACATTTAGGGGGTAGGGTTTGGAACAGACACCTCCCAACAGAAAGTACCCTATAAATGTTGACTTGTGTATATTTAGCCTATTACTGTCTTTATTAATACCTTGGGTTTGAATAGATTATATCATAATCTTTGTAAATATCAAATACATAATTATTATATGAATGAATACTTAAGTGTGTATATATATATATATATATGTGTGTGTATATACTCTACAGCTACTATTGAGCAAGAGGGGTGAGAACAACTGATGAGAAAACAGTTCATACCTCGCCACAAAGATTACAATGCCAAGAAAAAACCATGTGCAAATGTCACAATAAAAAAACAGCATTTAGATACATTAAAAAGAGTTTTATGAACGTTGACTTGCTTGCTCACCTACGAAGATGAAAATGCACTTCACTTCTCATTTTGTACATCATACACATTTCATCAAAATACATTTTATCACTGAAGAAAAAAGGCACAGTTCAACTCGAGACCCAAATCGTATTTTTAAGCTACTGTGAAAAAAGTTGAACCAGTTCCAATAATGATTACAAAGTACAAAATACATGAGTATGAACAAAAGTACACAGTTGCTCAGCATCTCATAATCTTCTAAGACAGGGGTGACAGTGTCGGCTCCTGGAGGGCCTTGACTCTGAAGATATTTCCCTCTTCCAATGCTTAAACCAAACTATCATGCTTAAATGTGTGTTACAACTTAGTTGTATATTTTCTTGTTCTCTCGTAGTGCTACATTGGTGTCAGGGGTGGCATGTGGCCACTGAGCTTGAGGAAATCGAGAGGCATATCAACAAACTTGAGGGCGGGTGGTGAAGAAGGCAGCCCAGAAGAAGGGGGTACCTAAGCATTATGCCTGCCCCCTCCTGGACAGATCCAGCCAGCCAAGAGCAAGGCAGCTGGCCAGGGAAGAAGGTGAAGGAAACAGCATGGCAAAGCTCAGGAGCAGAGCCCAGGTACATGTGTCCTGATCCACCCCGAATAGCAAGGATGCATTGCTTCATGACTTACCAACGAGAACAACCTGACCGTCCAATCATTCAATGTGGCATGATGGCACCAGGAAAAGGACTCTGACCTACAGCTGTATGTTTATAAACTTAATTCTGCTTTAGAAAAAAAAATGAGGCGAGAAATAGACACTAAAGTTGTTGAGTATTTGCTCATTTGGTACAAACAACAGATAACATGGAAACTTGTTCTGACATGTCAGGACAAGGCTCCTTTTAGAATAACAGTAATGTTACGCAGCTGTGGTAGCTTTAATGAAGTTACGTAACACGACGCAACTGATTCGATGCTCGCAGACGTAGTTAGAAAAATAGTCTTTACTGTTTGAAATGTGATCCAAGCTCAGAAAACAGATACAGGTCAAACCCAAACAATCTAAAAAGGCAAAAAGACAAACATCACAGAAACAGGCAAACAAGCCAAAGGGCAAGGGCAAAAGTCAAAATCATGTGACAAACAGAACAGGTGTGACAGATTAGTATTCGGGTGAAGGAGAACGTCGATTGGCTGTGGATGGTGGAGCAGCAGTCACGTGATCTCCAAGAAAGTTCAGGGAGTTGGAGTTCTCTGGAGAGTCAGAACCAGAGGAATGCGTGACAAGTCAGCAGTGGCCAAGTTCAAAAGTTTTTTTTTTTTTTGCTCTTAATAGTTTTACAACACTTCACACCAACTATCAAAGTGAAATCATTTTATACTCCGTCTGTTATTTATTCATTTTTTCGGGGCCGGATCCTGGCCAAATTGATGATGAACTTTTTGGATATACACACTAAAGATGGACACTTGGAGGTCGAGTTTGGAGAAATGCTGAGAAGAGTTTATTACGTAAAGAATATAAAATGCTTTACGCTTATTTATTACATTTTTTCCTGCACATAGTAATTGATGTGATTTATTGTTGATTTAACGTTGATTTATTATTCTTTGTGATTTTACTCTGTGAGCCCTTTATAATATTTTTAACATCTTAAAATCAAGAGTTAAAGGGAAAGAATGAAACAGCTGCATGTATGCATTAGTTTGTCTCTCACAGCAAAGAGCCTCTGCCAAATATAAGTGGCACTATAGCAGGTCTCTTCATCTTTTTCTCCTCAGTCTGGCTCTCTTCTGGATTAGCTCCTCAGCTCAGTAATGACAGCTGTAGCACCTTTTCCTTCTACATTTCTGGTACTTTTAATCAGACGGTCCCTTACCCTACAGCTATATTAATTTAATAGAAACTCTTTTTAATCAAAGTTTATCCAGCAACATCACACCTGCTGTCACAGCTGGCTTTATTCCAGCCAGGCAAAACAGCACAAACCACACATTTTAGATTCTGCTCATTTTTACTGTACAAAAGTGTTTTTTTTATTCTGTGGGTAATAATCTGAACTGATAGGCTACTACATGGTATCTTAACACTGGTGAAATCAGCTGGAGTTGCGCAATAGCAAGAACACAGCACATCTCACACTCCTGTATGTACAGTCTCCATCCTTGTGTTCTTGTGAGTTCATTATCACATGGTAACTTGTCAAGAACATTCTTACCTAGATCACAAGTCTGTTCTTAATGTTCTTGATATTGCGAAACACTCTGTGTTTCAGTAATGACATGAAACCAGAAAGAAAAGTGCATGTGAGACGTGACAAGCAGTTAACAGGAACAAGGACACTCTTAGTGTGAAATGTTGCAGCTAGTAAGTGTGAGGGGTGTGTGACAAACTGCTGGGAAAACAGTTTACACCTCTCCACACAGACAAGATAAAATCATGTGCAACTGTCACAATAAAAAACAGCATTTAGACACAATGAACTTTACATCAAAATATATTTTATCATTGAAGGAAAAAGGCAAAGTTCTACTGATGGACCCAAAAAAGGTGGAAACTGTATTCAATTTCAGTTTTCAGAGTTCTAACAAACTACAAAATACATTAGTGTGATCATGAGTACACAGTCGCTCAGCATCTCAAAACCGTCTAAGACAGAGGTGTTAATCTCAGCTCCTGGTGGTCCATGACTCTGAGGACATTTCCCTCTTCTGATGCTTAAATCAACCCAAAAGGTCTCGCTAATTCACTGATGAGTTGAATCAGGTATTTAATGAGGTAGAATGTCAAACTCTGCAGTGCTGCGGCCCACCAGGACTGGAGTACAACATATTTGGTCTCAGGAATCTAGCATTACAAGCAGTCTGTGTGTGGTGTCTCACCAAAATCATCTACAAGGAGACACCATTGAGCAGCTTTATTTATCCTTTTTTTTACGCAGTTGCTAAGAAGCATTTTTCAAGTTCACTCTTTATGCTCCTTTTGCAGACATGCAGCTCAGCACAATAGTTTATTTTATACCTAAAATGCTCTACAGCTACCAAAACACAGCAGAAGCATCTCAGAATACATCCATTCCATCAAAACATCAACACTACAAGAGAAATACTTCATCACTCACATCACAGTCGCCTCAGAAACTCTAATTACTGTTGGCCTTAAAGTAAATATTAATTTTAACTTGTAAATATTGTAATTAGTTAGAATTGATGTAAATGATGATTTTAATAGTCTAAACTAAAATCTGGTAAATTGCTTATTAACACAATTAATAATGTTTTTAAGCTTGAACTGGCAAATCATTATTTAGAGTGAATGAAAAAATTACAGAATAGAATGGTACATCTTTACGTTATCTAGCAAAGAGAAAAGATCTTAATAATTTGGTAATTTGTTCTCATCCACATCACACCTAATGTTCTCACTTACTTATATATGTATGAATAAGAAGTTGCTTATTACATGCTGGGCCCATAACGGACCATTTATTATGAAAAAAATAATTCCAGAACAGATCCCTTTTTATAGATGGTGAACACCTGGGCAGGATTTCATCTCAGATGGGATTCAGTCGTGATCAGGTTATATACATACATTCAAATAGCAGTTTGTCTCTTTAACCATTATAACTATCTTGGCTTTGATTTTGTCCAATATCGTATTTGTGATTTAGCAAATTGATACCCAGTTTACCCACTGAACATTACCCACATGTTCAGTGTTACAATTTTGGAGTAGTGTTAACAAGAAATTGTAATTGAAAAGCTCCTCGTTGCAGAGATATGTGCACAGCTGGAACAACATTGTTTTGAGATATTTGAGCCAAACACTACAAACTGTTTATGCTGTTTCTGTTAGATTTCACCAGTTATTTCAAATATGATTTTAAAATGTTAATGTGACTTTTAGTTTCCATTCTTAAGGACATTGTTTTTTTACACACGTATTGCTTTATTACTTACCAGGCTGGACAATGCAAAAACCCAACTCTAAACATCTGCATCAGAATATCCTCTTAAATGAAGACCAACCAAGAGGTTGAATTAAGCTGACAAACTAAAGAAATACTTCTGCTCCAAGAGGCTTCTGCACACGTACCATGTGACTCATGCATCTCAAATGTCATCAGAGTCTCACATCTGTGGCCAGCGTCACTACTACAACCTTCTTAGTTTAGAGAAGACTGATTACTGTCACAGTTGAGCACGGATTCTCTGGTGTGACTTGCTGTCAGCAGTAGCATTAACCTGATATACAGAGTCACTTTTGGAGCTATCAGAGTTATTAACGTTAACATCAGTCAGAGCAGAATGGAAATGAGGGAGGATATATATGCAAATTCAGGAATTACTGCAGACAACAAAAGAAATTCAGATAGCAGTGAACATTCATATGAAGACATTTGTGAGGATGACACAAAAACTCATCAGACCAGGAGCAACAAAAGGAACTCCAGTACAGTAACTGCAGAGAATATACACATTAAAAATAATGAGGAAGTGGACGAAACCTCTCACTCACATACAGCAGATCCTCAGTATAGAGGTAAGTCTTTATTGATGTTTTTCACTTGCTCATGTATTAACTGGCAAAATAACGCTATTGGCCCACACTACAATGTAACGTTAACCAGCTTTAATCATTAACCAAATAATATGGAATTTTTTTCAAGCTTTCTTGTAAATCTAGTATAAGGACTTCATTCTTTAGCTCACTTGAGAATTTTTGCACAAGTAAGTTGATATTGTAGCATTCATTGCTATTAAAAGAAACACAGCTAGGTTGTGGTGTTTTATTAACTAATTGTTGTTGGCCACAGCTGCGCCGTACATAAGCAGTTTTCGCTGAGTTCACTTTTAGCCTGAACTACACTTTATTCTCTCAAAGCTCTTGAGTGACGTTAAGTTCTTCCAGCTCAAACACACATCCCTCTGGGGGAAACTAGCCCTACCCTCAGAATAAGAGTCCTTACTAGAATAACCCGTAAATAAATGCAGAAGAACCAATGACCTGTGGTGGGGGACTCCCAAGGCTGTGAAGTCATCCATACAGACTGGCAGGGGAAGAATTTAAAGGGGGGTCCGGTGTCAAGGGGGGATCAAGGGTGGGTTGAGCAGGCAGAAGCACGCAACTGCGCTCTACACACAACTTCTCCTAACCTCTCCAAGATCTAACATGGCCCCACCCAGTGGCTGTCCTATTTAGGGCACTGGTCCTTCTTCCTTTTCTGGCTGTAGACCCATACAAGTTCCACTACTAAGAAGTCCCCAGGCAGGCAGGTCGTAGTTCCTTTTTTGCCACATGCAGATCATAGTTCTTTTTTTGTTGCAAGTCCACAGCGTCTTGGAGCCAATGGGGCTACTCTGGTCCTGCCAGTTTTGATGGGGTGTCTGAGGGGGAAAAAATGCCTTTTCAATGGGGGTCCTGAATTCACTTCCCAGCATTAGTTGGGCTAAAGTACACAAGGTTGAATTTTGGGCTGCAGAGTGGCACGCAATGAGGACCAGGTGCACAAGCTTGTCCTAGTCATGTTGGTGTGTGGATGCAAGGGTAGCTAGTTGCTCGACTAAGGTGCGGTTAAACCTCTCCATCAACCAATCACTCTGAGGGAGGAACAAGGTGCGTGTATTCAGGTTCCCGAACTGCTTGCACATGGTAGAGAACACTCTAGATTCAAAGTTCCATCCCAAGTCATTATGAATGGACTATGGAACCTTAAACCTTCTGAACATCTCCTCAATTAAGGCATTAATCACAATCTCAGCCTCCTGATCCAGCAACACATAGGCCTCTGGACATCTGGTGAAATGGCGGTCAGCACAAAACTGTTTTCACAAGTGGTGCATGGAAACGGTCCTACTATGTCAACTCCCACCTGCTGCAGGGGTTCACCCGGTGTTGAGCTCACTCATCCAAAATGCTGCATGTGGATCCAGGACTGCCCTTGATGCCCTTTGCATGCCTACACAGATCACACCACCTTCAGAAGTCCTCTGTCATGCCTCAGCCATCCCCAGTAGAAACTCTATCAGAGTTGGTGAAGTGTTTTTGTGACTCCAAAATGACCGGACGCTGCAGAGCCATGCATGGAACGGAACGTCAGTGATGAATTTGAACTTTTTTGAGCAATGAACTTTCTTGCACCTGTATGTTGTCTAAGAAGACTAGCCACACTTGTAGCTGAACACCCTCATCATTAAGCATTCAAACACTGCTGGGGCATCACAAAATCTGAAAGCAAGAACCTTGAAATGGCATAGCCTGTGCAGAATGACGTTTACTGGGGACAGTACATGTTGGTACCCATTCCTTAAGTCTTAAGATGAAAACCAGGAGCATTCAGCCGCTAGATCCAAACATTCATCCACCATAGCCATGGAATGGGGCCTAAGTCTTTCTTTGTGACCTCACTGAGCCTTATATAATCTACACAGACGTGCCACTCACCTCCTTTCTTTGGGACCATGATGACTGGTGTCTCTCCGATGGCTGGTCTATAGCCTGGTCTATAGCCTCCTGTGGAACCAGGGGAAGGTGTTGCGGCTGCTACAACATTAGTGTCACATCCGCTGTGTCGATGTCATGCTGTACTAGGTGAGTCTGTCCCAGCTCCTCTTCATCAAATGCAAAGCAGTCCTGAAACTCCACTAAGATCTGTGACAGCATTTCCTGCTTGCTGTTTATCCATCTCATTGGTAAGCTTTTGCCAGATTTCCCTCTGGGCTTCTCTCTGTTAGATGCAGCCTGATTCAGTGGTGCATGGGCTGCCAGACTCACAGGGCGCTCAGGGGAGGGAAGTTCTGGAAAGTTCTTACAGGTGAAGGGGTGAGCACTTTGCTGGCTGGCACATTTGCTGAATCAGGTTGAGAGCTGGTAACGGCATCGGGCGAGTACGCCGTGAAGGATGTATGTTTAATGCCTAATTGCCCTATCAACCACTGTGGGATGGCACTTTCTTTGGCTAAGCTGCATGTGGGGGAGATACGCTGCCGGACTAGTTCTTCACAGCGTCTTCTCATCCTCCATCAGCCTCGCCTCCCTTTGCCACCTCTGAGCCCTCTTGCCTCCCCTTACTTGGACCAGCTCTAGGTCATTGCACTGGTTGCTTCTTTATCACTACAAGGCCACCTCTGAAGCTCAAAGTGGCACTCCCTAAGTCTAATTGTCCAGACCGAGAATGGACCCATGCCACTAGCTCTGTGGCAGCAAGTATGGCCAGCCTACCATTTCTGTCATCTCCTGCACCCATGCACTGGTGACACATGTCTCCTCCACAGCTCTGACCGCAGGATTGGTTATATCCATGCTCTGTGAAGTTGATGACCACACCATTTCTCTCTCCAGCCCCTGCTCCAGGGCATCTTGTAAGTCATATGGGCTGGCCAGCTCTGTGTGGATGCGTAACTCAGTTGAAGACAGTGCCATGATGAACTTGTCTTGGGGTAACTTGCTATACACAGAAGGTGGCAAGGGAGCATAACCGGAGCTCCCCAACTAATGCTCTGTAATCAGATCCAGCCAGTCCAACCCTGCCTTGACAGCAGGGGTGCTCCTGAAGATGCTTTCTGTCATCCTCTTCTATGTCACACAACCAGAGTGCTTCTCTCTGAGCTATTTAGCTTAGTTTAGCTTCATGTGGTCGATTGGCCAAAACAGGTGTGCACAACTCTGGTCCTAGAGGGCCAGTGTCCAGCACAGTTTGGTGATTTACCTGCTCAGCCACACCTGATTACACTCATCTGTTAATTGGCAGGTTTAATGGGTGTGTTTGAGTAAGGAAACCTCCATACTGTGCTGGACGCCAGCCCTCCAGGACCGGAGTTGTGCACCCCTGGGCCAATATATCTCCCATTACTTCTTGAAGAGACACAGCTTTCACACGTGGTGCCTGATTAACCAGCTGTCATTGGCCACAGCTATACTGTACATAAGCAGTTTTCTCTATCAGTTTGGAGCTGGATGCAAATGACCTCAGAGCTTTTGTATTAACAATATAAGCAAACTTTAAGCAAACTTTCTGTGCCTCTGTAACAGAACATCTGTATCTGTAACACTGATGAGTGAACACTGCAACTCCTACAGAACTTAGACAGCTCCTGGGTAATGTTGAATTATGGGTAATGTGGTTCAAGTTCATTATATAACATGGCTGAGCAATGTTTGAAGCTGCGTTATTCATGGAGTCATATTTGAGCTGAATTGTTTTTATTGATTGTATTTAATCACATTTTACCGCACTGTGTATTATATTGTTGGTTGCCGTTTTATAAAAGCATTGAAGCATTTGAGACGTGCGTTCCTGTGATTTTACCAGGGGTGAGGGGTGTAACATGATTAATCATTTACAGTTGATCAGCAAAGACATGTTTGATATCTGACATCTGCTTCTTTAATTCACCCACATGGAAAAAAATATATGGGCATATATTTATATATATTTAAAAGACATTTTAAATACATTGCTGTAAATTACATGCTAACACCAGTCTTTGAGTTTTATTAACATGCTGGATGTAAAAACAATTCCAGAATCAAAACTACTCAACGCTGACATTTCATGTCATGTCGGTGTATCAGTTGAAAATGTGTTTAGTAAATGGTTTAGCATCTTAACTGACTAACTCAACAGCAGCACTGCAGCATAAGGCCTTTCACTCTATATCACACAAGGACAAACTCTACTAATTCATGAGCTTTATTTTTGTTTAACATCTGAACAATTAATTCATTCACTAAAACATGCTTGTATCTGTTTTCAGGTCTGAGCACTGCAGACAGAAGATGCTACAGACTGGCTGCAGTGTGTCTGGGGCTGCTGTGTGTTCTCCTGCTGACTGCCATCACAGTGCTGTGGATCCAGTTCACTGCAGAGAGAGACCAGTTACAGACCAGCTACACCAACCTGACCATAGAGAGAGACCAGTTACAGACCAAGTATAACAAACTGTTTGAAGACAAAAATCTGTTGGAGTCACGCTACATCGGTGTAAAAAATAAAATGGATGAGCTTCAAAAGAAATTCTCACCTTTAGGTAAGCTGACACTGGATTAGTTAAACACTCCTTACATTTTACTTGATCCAAGTCTGAAAAGCCTGAACATCAAAAAACTTTCTTTTTTAAATAAAGATACAATAAAATTTCTATCAGTAAAAAATGTAACTATGCTAATTTATCATTTTGCAAGGACCAGTACTGCCCAAATCACTGCAGCACACCACCTGCTAACAGAATATTTTCCTCATCACTGTCTAGCTTGTCATGCAGGGTTAAACTAAATGAACACACTGATCTGAAAAGCATATCAGGGACTTGCATGCAGCTCAAACAAATCGCTCAGTGGAGCATACATTTTCACATATTGCATTCCCTCCTAACACAGTGCCTGAACATCATATAAGTCTCAGTAGATTCAAAATAGGGATCAGTTTTTGACTTTAAGTGCAATGTAGAACAGCAGAGAGTGCAGTTACAAATTATGTGTACATAAAGTAAAATACCTGACACTATCAGTGTACAGCACACTGTCCAAACTTAAACCTTCATTGTGGCCAAAAACACATCATTTTGCTTCACAATGTCTTTTTTCCTTTTAAGTGTACTGCCAGCTTTAATGTGCTCTCTGGTGGTGCATCCATTTAAGGATTTGCCTTATGGTCAGGGGGGCACACATTCTTATAATCTCTAGCAATGTTTCAGTCTAAAAGTCATTAATTATTACCATTTTTGGTAAAATATTACCAAAATTATTGGTAATATTTTTACAGATAAACTGCTGATCATCAATATTCTAAGCAATATTTATTTGACGATATTTTGTCAGTGTGTAAGGTAAAATGTAGGACAGTGAAAACACACTACAGTTAGCTTGACAATAACATAGTAATAATAAAAATAATAATCTCATACTGTCTTAGGCAAAAGTTGTTGAAAATAAGTCAACGCATCCTCTACAGAAAACACACTTCTGCACATTTTAATGCACAACTACTTCAACATATTAGGAAAAACAAAGCATTAAAGCTGGTCTGTGCAAAAGCCACTTAGAAAATCAACTGTAATGCTGAAGAAGAGAAGCAAGGAGGATCCAAGAGCAAGCAATCTTTATTTACAAACTGAGTAACTTCAAAGATTGTAAGCCAAAGACAGTCCCGGCAAAAAAGGGTTCCATACAGCCAAATCCCCAAATCATTACTGCAATAAAACCGGCTGCACAAAATTAGAAAAACAAGATCAGACTGAACATCGGACCTCCAAAGTCTACATTATACCCTTGAAAGTTAGTTTCCTGCTAATATTGTAAACATTGCACATTAAGTTTGGTTCCCCTAGGAATAGTTCTATTTTGCCCACTTCAAGTCCAATACTATAATTGACGATCCTCCTGCAGAATCTATTTGTTTCTTAACCAAAGTGTGGAAGTGACACCAGAAATCCATTGATTAAAGCAGTTAACTTTGGCAAATCAGATCTGATCCAAACACACTTTGGGCCAGAATATTACCAAACTTACAGAATTTATTGTAAATGTTGTATTTTCTTATAAGCCACTCAGATACAGTGAACTTTACCACTATGGAATGATTATCAATACTTTGCTCCAAGTGTGTGAGTGTGTGTACATCTGTGTTCTGTGTTTAATTTATAGAGAAGGCAGTGCAGGAGGACTGGACGTTTTTCAGCACCAGTCTGTACTTCATCTCTACTGGAGAGAAGAACTGGCATGAGAGCAGGCAGGCCTGCAGAGGAAGAGGAGCAGACCTGGTGATCATAAACAGCAGAGAAGAACAGGTGAGAGGGTGAGAGAGAGAGAGAGAGAGAGAGACAGAGAGTAGAAAAGGGAATGTAACCCACTGATCTTCAGCTCATTCTTATCTCAATGGCAGGAGTTCATCCTCAAAAATCTGGGCAGCATTCGAGCTTGGATTGGTCTGACTGACAGTGACACAGAGGGAGTCTGGAAATGGGTGGATGGATCAGCTCTGACCACTGGGTAAGAAACAGATTGAGTGGCTAACTGATTAATCCCACCTTCTCAAGTACCGACTGTACCTTTTAGCAGATGGATAAAGGCATGTTAACAGTACTGAGGCTGAGAGATTTGAGCTGAAGGTGAATGAACACTGATCAGAAACTGATTCTGATTCTCTGGCTTTCAGGTTCTGGGCTCAAGGAGAACCAAATGATGATCAGAATAATGAGGACTGTGCTGAGATTGTGAATTTGCCAAATAGGAAGGGCTGGAATGACATGCCATGCTCTTACAAAGAAGGGTGGATCTGTGAGAAAAGTGTTTTAGTGGTAAACTGATACTTAGTTATAAAATGATACCAACCCTGATCCTGGAGGTCGACCTTCCTGTGGACTGTAGTTTAATCACAGTCTGTCACACCTGCTCCCACTAATGAACTTCTTCAGAAGTCCTTGATTGGCTGGATCAGATGCAGTAGTGTTGGGTAATGGGCGCAGCATCAGATGTAGGTTATAACTAAACTCTGCAGGAAAGTAGATCTTCAGGAGGAGAGCTGTGGTCACTGATTTACATTTACAGCATTTAGCAGATCCAGAATGACTTACAAAAGTGCTTCACTGTCCACTCAGATAATGTATCTTAGCTTTACTATGTTAAGAGTCTAAACACACAGTCACTGTTTCTTAGTGTCTATAAATGTATTCTCAGGGTGAACTCAGTCAAAGTGAAAGGTCACATGATTGTATTAACATTTGAGAAGTCTGAGATCCATCAGGGGGCAGTAGGTCAGTTATGATCATGTGATCCTCTATTGCAGTTAAACCTACTGAATGTCAAATCCAGCACATCATTACTGTTGCACAAAACTTTACATTGTATTTGTAACTTTGTAAATCATGTAACTTCAGATGACTGAGAGGCACAAGGAGTTAGTCTGCCCCCTGGTGGTGATGTTCAATCTTTGCGGTACTTTTCTATGGTCTGAAGTTCATAGTGTCACTATTTTAACTTTTATCTTTCATAGAAATCAGATCATTTTACACAGTTTCATGTTGTTCTAAGATTTTTTTTTTCTTTTTTACTATAAACTGAAGAAGATGTACATTTTTAACATGACTTAGTATTTTCTTTTATATTTCAAAAAATCCAACATATTTCCTCTAAAATGCTTCTGTGCAAATAAATCATGACTGTGTTGGTGGGGCATAATTTTTTATTATAAAAATGAATTCAGTTTCTTCATTGATGCTGATAATTGGATTTCAGTTGCACTCAGCACCTGTGCAGGTCTGCATGATCACAGAATGTAAATTATTAATTACAATTAATAAAACTCAACTTTAAATAACTTTAATATGATTATATATGCTTATTGAAATTGTACCACAAGTGGCTCCACAAAAAACAGCTCCTTGATTTTACACCTTAAAGTGTCCTTAAAACCAGCATTTTTTAGGTAAAATAAGTAGACTGGGCATGGGTTCAGGATTTTAAAGGGGAAAACACCCCTTAAAGAAGTAATGAGGCTGGGCATGGATTAAGGATATTTCCATATTTCCCTTATTCAGTAATTACATGGAAAACCATGCAAATTGTCTAAGTTAGCCTTACAGTGGTTAGGAAGTCAAATTCAATTCAAGGTCAGTTGGATTAAGCATAAAGGGATAATTCATGTTAACATTAACTAGAGTACATGTGTAAAAACTTACTCTTTTTATTAATATTAAACAGAAAATTTTTAATATGTAGCCTCGTCTATTACATTCACGTTATAGAACAAATGGTCAGACGTTTATTTTTCATAAAATATACAGCTGTTAACCTCAAAATTAAACCTCTTTCTTAAAAATTTACTTGAAGGGTAAACATTGTTTAAACCTTTAAAATGAATTTAATGTAAGTAGTTTTTATTTATAAAGCAAATTTTAACCCAAAGTGCTGTATTTGTTCGACCTTTGGGGGAACTAAACTAATGTAGTCTGTCTGTTAGTTTCTAATTTTATATTTACTGAACAATCGTAAAATAGAACTTCTGTTACATGATAGGGGATATAAGACACCATTAAACATTAATCTAAATAACATATTTGAAAAATTATCTTTTAGTATTTCATTTCCATTTTCTAGAAGGGATCATGAGTGTAAAGAAGAGGATACAGCTAAACTTTTCATTGTCCCCCCCCCCGGCCCAGCTGAGACTACAGCCAACATGGCTCAGACTATAAACACAACAGCATAAACATCAGCATTCCTATCTAACAGTGTGGAACTGCCCACTCCTCAGCATCCATTCATTCTTTTATATAAAGTGACTTATTTTATACAGAATGTATCTGTTATAAATTGTAGTTGTATGAGGACTAAAATTATGGAAATGAATCAGTTTCCATATAATAACACCTGCTGATGAAAGGCGCACGGTTTTATAGGCAGTTTGGGAAACAGAGTCATCACAATGCAAAATCACATCAACACCACCATTTTTTAATCATCCACTTCTACTTTGTCCACTTCTGTAATATCCTTTAAAAATTGTATCATCTGCCAATTGACTGATGATAATGTCTTCCTCAAAAATCTTAAGCTTGGCTACATTAGAATTCTTAATAAAATTAGCTAATATTTCTGCCACCAAGAGAAACAGTGACTTCACTGTTGGGCAGCCTTGTTTTAAACCTCTTCTGATTTCGAAGCGTTGTGGTAAAGAAATACAGCTATTTGTATTAAGAGAAAAAGTCTGAATGATGTTGACGAATGTTATTATGTACTGATCTTTTTCTCATAAAGCCAGACTGTGTCCCGCTTATTACTTGTGACAGACCCTCCTTTAGGCAGGAAGCATATCTATCAGTTATAGATTGAAGGTTTTGAAATGTACTTTCACTTGTCTGATGCTCAGCCCTCTTAAGTTTGATCGCTCTCTGATGGGAGAGACTAACTTTCACAACGTTCTGATGCATCATCATCATCATCATCACACACACACACGCACACACACACACACACACACACACACACACACATCATTATCTAAACCGCTTATCCTTCTAGGTCGCAGTGGGGTGCTGGAACCTATCCCAGCTGTCATTGGGTGGAAGGCAGGATACACCCTGGACAGGTCGCCAGTCCATTGCAGGGCAGACATCATCATCATCTTAATAATATTTTTGGAGAATTCTTTTTTTTACAGATAATTTTTTTTCTTTTTTTAATATTGTTTGTATGTTAATATTTTATACCGTATTTTCTTTTTTGCTGTTGTTGATTCTTTCTTCCTCAAATCTTATTATATCATGTCATTTTCACAGACAGAGCTCAGTTACAGCTGTTTTTAAATACAAAATGTGTTAAAATGGTGAAGCACTTGCAGAAGACCGAGATGTGATCTGGGAACCTCACATGAAGTTTGACTGCCCCCTTGTGGAGGAATTAGAATCAGGTGTACTTTTCTGTGATCTGAAGTTCATACTATCATTTTACCTTTTTACATACACCTCTACTGTCATGTTTGTTACCGTATTCACGGTTTAAGTTGAAGACATTTTTCAATTAATAGAAAAGTCTCGACCAGTGTTATTTGTTTGGAATGTTATGTTTTATCAAAAAAGTATTCATTTTCTATGCATTTTATTTATTCAGTTCGGTTGTGCAATCACCTGTGCAGGACAGTATGATCATGAAATGGTCATTTTAATAAAATAAAACACTTTTAGAGCCTTTAGTTTGATGCATCTTGTATATGGCAGAGATTAAGCGGAGGGTCTGGAAATGGGTGGACAGCATATCACTGACCACTGAGGTAAAATATCAGGTCTCCAGGGCGCTTTGATCTCAACAGCAATATCTGGATAGTGAAATATTTTGCTGTAGAACTTGTATTTGCTTGGTCGATTCTCTGCCGTCAATTCCCTGTCCATAAGAAGTCATATCTGACCATTTGTGACCAAGTCCACAAACCTGCTTTCAAGAGATTAATAAAAAAAGTGAATGGTACAATTTAAAAATGTTAAAATCAGTTAATAAACAGAAATTGTGCATTAAAATGTGCAGGAAAACATCAAATTAATTTGCACATTAATTTGGTTCCCTGTAGAGGACGTTTAACTTATTTTCACTTAGGAAATCAACAAAACGTCATCTGACCAGGGGCGCACAAACTTTTGCATACCTTTGCTGTCCTCCCACCTGACCTGTCTGACCTCTAACTTCTACTCTCAGAAAGACTCTTTATACTATGAGTAATCTCAGAAAATACTTCACCAGAATCCACACAATAATCTACTTCACCATAAAGTTCCTTTCACAGACGTCTGAAACGGCAGAGGAGGAGAAATCTCACCCTCATCTACTGAGATACGCTGCATTACAGAGTGACAGCGGTCATACAGGTATGGGAGGCAAATCCGGCCAAAAAAGAAATTAAAATTAAAACAATAAAATGTAAATGCAAACCTCTTTTTGCCTTTTCTTTTTCCAAACGTCTGCACAAATATCCTGCCAAAATTGAAAATAAAATGAAATACCTACATTTGCAATTTCATTTTTCACATGAGCACGAGCCATTAGTGACAAAAATAAAAATAAATGTAAAACTGCTATTTGTCATTTCATTTCAGTCGTTATTCTGGTTTTTCATGGTCAAATCTAAAATCAAAAAGTTAATAGAGAAAAGAAAATCCAAGCTTCACTTTGGCTTTTCTTCATGAAATGCAGAATACGTGTCAAAACTAACATCAAAATGCAAAGTTTACGTTCTTATTTCTTTTTCACAGCAGTCAGCTGCAGTGTGTCAGAGTGTCAGAATAAAATGACAAATGCAAATGAACATCGGCGCCACCTGCTGGGCATTGACTTTTGATTTGCCACTTTGCTTTTTCGTTTTCAGACTGTCCAACATGCAAATGTATGTTAATTAGCACTAGATGTACATTTCAGGACATCCTCAGACCTCAGAATCAGAACGGCATCATTCCTCAAGCTACACGACTTCGAGTCTCGAGAAAAACCATCGTCATGACTCAGATCTGGTGAAACTGAACATCAGACAAAACGCCATCAGACCAAAGGGCCTCAGAAAAAAGGTATCAGACCAAACGCAAGCTTGGGCGAGCATTCTGGTTCCTATAACTTAGAAAACTATTGTGTATATTGATATAAATGCCAGTATAACATTTTCACAGGTTTTTCTGAGGCCCTTTGGTCTGACAGCGTTTGGTCTGACGTTCAGTTTCACCAAATACATGATGATGGTTTTCCCAAAACTCGAAGTCGTTTAGTCCGAGGAATGATGCTGTTCTGACTCGGAGGTAAAGTAAGTACATCCACTTTTGTACTGGACTGTTATGCACACAAATTAGTATTATTGAAATTTTCTATTGTTGTTCTTATTTTTGCAATTACAGATTATGTTGATAATAGTTTTGGTTAATTAGCCACATATCCAGCATTTATGCCCAAATTTACATGCACTCCTACCAGATATGAGTACAGACATGCCAAGATGAACGTGATGAATAACAAAACCGTCCATGAATTTGTGTGCGCTCATCTTATGGTCAGATGTGACCATAAGCATCTTTAATGAACCAAAGTGAGAAAAGTGAAGCAACTGAATATATGGAGGTGATGGAAAGTTAATTAACAGATAATTAGCGGGATTAACACATAGGTGCTAGTAAGTTATCACGTTACTTCTTTATATGAAGAAAAACACTTATTAGTTAATTAACAATGTAATAAGCAGCAATTAGCACACAGATAACGAGTAAGTAAGCCACAAACTAACGACAAACTAACTTATCAACTAACAGTGTACTT